AACATCTTGCAGCGTGGCAGGAGAACTGACACTGCTGCGCTAGGAGAGGGCTGAGGAGGACTCTCACCTAGCACATAAGAAATCACACAGCGACCCACAGGTTGAGAACCACTCACACAGCGACCCACAGGTTGAGAACCACTGGCTTGCGCCGTCAGAATAAAAAAAAAACAAAAAACAACCATAGGAATGCATAGCTAGATTCCTATTGGCTATTTCACTTTGTAATAGCCAATAGCAAACTAGCTATTGCACCCACCCTCTGCTGCTGTCAATCACTGGAAGAGGACCTGATGGAGAACTTCAGGTCCCCCTCTGCTGATTGGCGGCAGCAGAGGGCGGGTGCAATAGCTAGTTTGGTATTGGCTATTGCAAAGTGAAATAGCCAATAGGAATCTAGCTATGCATTCCTATGGTGTTTTTTTTTTCTGACTGACGGCAGCCTGAGGCCCCCGATGTCAGAAAAAAAAAAAATTAGCAGGGAAAGGATTACTCTGCTAGATCGAGCAGAGTAAACCTTTCCAGGAGAAAGTGTTTCTCTCCCAGGCGGCCGGGACCTGCTAGGCGACCCATGGCAAATAGCCATTCGACCCCCGACGGGGTCGCGACCCACAGGTTGAGAACCGCTGCTTTACAGCACACAGTTTTCTGAAGCAAATATTTGTCTGCATCTGTTGCAAAGATTTTTTACCTGGAGATCCTACCGTTGTTAGCAAAGTTGTTTCATTACTTCAGTTGGCTGTTGGGCTGCATATCAGGTCTGTACAGAACTGACTGGCATCTATCTCAAATAGTGCAATACAACAGTGCAGTTCATCAAGTAATTACAGGGGGGTGGGGGGTTCAGGTCATCTTATGGGGCCCATTGATTGCAGCTCCCCCAATAATTTATGAGCTGAGTGCCCACATTGCATTCTATGTACAGGAAAACAGTATTTATTTTCACTTACATTGATTTTCTAAACCACTACACCAGATTTTATAATGTAAATTGAATGATATATGAGAAAGAAACGTACTTTGAATTGCACAAAGCTCTGTGGCTTTCAGCTTCTGTACCTAAACAATTTTCATCCATCCGTCCCTCAATCCTAATCAACCAATTCTAACTTGTGTATGTGCTATAGTAAGTATATTTCAAATTTAATAATCCTTATAAGCAATTATACTTACAGATATCTCAAAGCTGCTAATCGTGGCTTAAAACTGCAATCACATTTTTAGGATTGCTTCTTAAATACAGTTTTTAATATATATCCAATAGTGTCCCTAAAATTAATTTTAACATGACAAAAGACGTTTCATGCTCACAAAACTAGGCAGCTGAAACAAAAAAGATTTGGGTTAGTGAAAACATCAGCATTACAAAATGTGCTCGTGGTTTTCATTACAAAATGTTTTTAGTGTTGTGTAGAGTAGAGAAGAGTTAGAACATCTGTCAAAATTTCATTGTAGTGTGTGTCTTTGCTGGGGAGAGTCACTCACTTTATTTGTGCTTGTCCATTGTCACTGGAACTGAAAGTCAGAGAAAAATCTAATACTTTATTATTATTATAATTGAAGGTGCAATCTTCCAATAGGGGCTCTTGTTGCGATAACTGTCTAGTTGGGAATTTCCCCAATTTACTGTTGGGTCTATGATGCAGGATGTAAAAGGAAATCTCTCCAATGGGACACAGGTGAAAAATAAAATCTGACAGGATTCTAATCCTTCCCTACTCCAAAACCCACAAAGCTTTGGTTTAAAATATGCTTCAACTCTTTTGCGGTCAGCCTTTTTTTTTTTCTTTTTGCACACATACTGATATGCACGATTTTTAAATGAACAAAGACATCATGGGGGGAATTTATCAAAACTGGAGCAGACAGAATCTGGAGTCACCAATCAGCTTCTCTCTTCGGTGTTCAATTAAGCTTTGCAAATGAAAGACAGAAGCCGATTGGTTGTCATGGGCCACTGCTCCAGATTTTGTCTGCTCCAGTTTTGATAAATTCCCTCTCTGTATTTTCTGAACATATAGACCCTTTACAAATAAAATGGGGGTAGTTGCAATTTTTTAAGTCTCACAATATTTGTGCTTCTGTTTTTAAAATCTATATTTTTAGTTAAAAAAAAATACACTCCAATTAATTTAAGTAAAACACACAAACACAATATATGCATATTCTAAAAGATGAAGTTGCAGTGAGTCAACAGACAAAACTGCGCATTCTAGTGAAATGGCGAAAAACCACAGTACCCAAAATTGTCAGTGGAAGACACTTTAAAAGCCTTTACAGGTTAACTGTCTGAGGCCATTTATGTAAAAATGGAGAAGCCAAACTTGAATTTAAAAACTTGGGCAGGTTAATAACACCTCCTAGCTCCAATTATGCAAATTAAATCAACACCTGGTTGCGGCTAACAGATTATGTGGATTGGAGCGAAATTCACCAGATTTATTCCCAGAGAATTTGTGTACTAGTCATTCTGAATTGAGAAAGCTGGTCGGATGACCAGTAAAACGTCTTCAATAAAAATACAACAAGTCCAGTTGCCTTGACTTATTATTTACAGATTTACAGGTTTTCAGAGTTAACCATAAATGATTGCCCTCAAATGGTTCCTCTCACTCTGGCGTGTGTGGCAACAACTAATATGTGTGGTGCAATCATTGTTTTCACGCGCATATACATGTGACGCACATATTTGGGTTTATGTATACATGGGGGTGGGCAGGGGGGTTAGAAACATTTTGTTTTATTACATTTTAATTTGTTTACCTTTTATTTAATTTTACAATCCACTATGTGATATCATAGTGCAGGTGACAAGCAGAGATCAGGGATCTATTAGACCCCCCTACTGTCACCCCTGCAATCTGCTGAAGCCAATCAAGTACAGACTGAGCTTGATAGCTCCAAACCAGGAAGTTTTCAGAACTGAGCACTTCCGGATTCATACTCCTCTGGGGAGATCATTGAATAGATGTTCTCCCACCACTCTCAAAACTGACACCTGCCATAGAGGTCCCAGACACCGAGGAGGTACAGGTAAACATGGTTGGGCGGGCGACTGGTGCGGGCTGCACCTTTGTGTGGATGTAGATGTGGTACAGCCACCAATTGGAAAGCTGGTAGCTGAGAGTCAGTAAACAAACTCTTGGCAGCTATATTGGCTGGGCGCAGTGGCGTAACAATCTCCATAGCGACCTAGGCGGCCGCTATGGGGCCCGGGCACAGGGGGGCCCGGCCAGGGCCGCCTGGGTCACTATGGCATGTGGGGGTACTGGCTGTCAAAGACACAGCTCAGCAGCGGCCACGGCGCATTTCCCCTCATAGCCGCTGCGGAGCTGTGCCAGTGACAGCCAGCCGCTGCGGCAGATGAGGGCGGTGTTCGGAATGGAGGAGGCAGGGCCCGCCTCCTCTTACATCACTGGCCAGCGACCTAAGAGCAGGTGGGGCCAGTGATGTAAGAGAAGGTGGGGCACGTCGATAGCAGAGGAGGCGGGCCCGGGGACAGAACAGGAGTCGGGGCCCGGCAACCACAGAGGCGCTGACAGAGATCTCAGACCCTGCAGAGCCCACAATAGAGAGTCTATGGTGGGCTCTGCAGGGTCACTCTCCGCTGGGGCTCTGCAAGTGGCATAACTAGCAATCACGGGGCCCCATACAACATTTTGCTATGGTGCCCTGTGATTTCTAGTTACGCCCCTGCCTGGGAGTTTGTTTATATGCAGCTGGTGTCATCAGTGCTGTAACATTCAGAGCTAAATAGCTAAATATATATAAACTCAATATCTTTCAGTATTTTTGGCATAATTTTTCAATGTGTACAGTTTTCATAAGCAAATAGTTTTTTTGTGAATCTGTTGCAAAATGTCTTATCTTGAGATCCTGCCAGTAACAGCATTTTCTTTTGCAGGATGAAAATGCTAAGCATTTGCTCCACAGCAGTATTGTCAGCACAGCAATGTGCAATTCATCACCTGGCCATTGGGCTACTATCATGTCTCTAAAGCTGGCCATACACCTATAGATGATCTGCAGATTTTCTATGTTCAGATGGAAAATGTGCAGCAGATTCCTCCATTTACGCTAAACTGTGTGGATGGAGGAATCTCCCACTGGGCCAAGCTTTAGTATCTTGCTAGTTGGCCCCGCTGGCTGTCAAAATACCTGATCAGACTGATTGGATGCAGGCATTGTTTAGGTATTTTGAGAGCCAGCGGGGCCACCTAGCAAGATACTGAAGCTTGGCCCAGTGGGGGATTCCTCCATCCACACAGTTTAATGTAGATGGAGGAATCTGTTGCATTTTTTCCATCTGACCATAGGTTGATAGAAAAAAATCTATAGAAAATCTACAGGTGCATGGCCAGCTTCAGACAGGTAGCCCAATGGTCAACAGAAGGAGCACATGCGGCAGGCTGATCATGAAAGGCTGAATGAAAATAAAAACTATAACAGATTCCTCCATCCATACTAAACTGTCAAAGTTCATCGGATGGAAGGGTGCCAACAAGGCCACACACTGTGCAAATTTTGTACAGTATATAGCCGGCTTAAGCATTGTCAGCCTAAAACAGGAAATTCTATTACTGACAGGATGTAAACTTTACAACAAATTTACAAAAAAAAGAACCCATTTGCTTACAAAAACAGAATACCGAAGGACATGATGGAAACATACCAGAAAAGGAGGATTTCAAGTTTTACAAAGGCTTTAATTTTCTAGTGCCCATAACGATATTGCAAAATATTTTCTGTACTCACAAAACAATCATTTTCAGCACAGAAGAGAATGTATGTATAGCAACATACATTTTGTCTTCTTAAGTTCCCCACACCAGAGCGGTATTCGATCCCGGACAAAATCATACACATAATATAATACAAAGTGCAGAAAGTAAGGATTTCCAATAATAATACATGAGAAGCTAGCCGTTTATCTTTAGCTCACAGTGCCAACTGCACGTTTCACTGGAGATGACAGAGAAATATATCTGTATGTGTCTCACCTCCCTCAGTGGATCATTGAGCTCACTCAGAATATTGTCCTCATCAAAGATCTTTCCTTGGTACCTGTGCTCGTAATAATCATGTATCTTCTGCCGCATGTCAGACGGCAATTTGTGAAATGACATGTACTGCTCCACTTGTTTGTACTGTGAAATAAAAAAGAAACAGTTGTTCAGATATTAAGGAGGAAGAAAAGAATATGAAAGTCATGCTATTCCAAAAACACACATTCAGGGTATTGTTCTATGTAATCTGGAGAGCAATAATGCATTGCACGAGTTAAACAGATCATTCAATAGTTCCATTTTTTGTTTTTAATAACATTTCGTACCTTTGCTGTGGGCCAGTGGATAGCTTTTACACCCTGAGTGGCCTGATGCTGCACTATTAGAATTTCAACATAAACTGCTTTTCTCTTGAAATTGCTTTATAATACACAAACAACGTGGGTCAGTACACCATGCCTCTCTCCATAAGAGCAGTGTGTACAGTCTGCATTAATCAAGAAGTAAATGTAGATTATATTCATGGGGCGTTCAAAGTCACATTTAAAAAGACTAGGTCACTCTTGTGCATTAGAAATGTAATGAAAAATTAGTATTAAAGCCAAATACCAGCATAAGTTTGCACCACCAAGTTTGCATTAAAAAAAAGTACTCGTCCTCTCTATGATTCACCTCTGCCCCATGCATCTTCCTCCTATGGTCCATCTTCAGGGTAAACTCGTAAAAAGATGTAACAGCGCTTTATTTTGTGTTACTTTATACGTTGGGGAAAAGGCACCATTCTACATTGGTGGTCAGTGGAAAAGCCCCCCCCCCCCCCCCCCCACACATGTGGGGGAGCCGGAAC